GTCTGTGCTCACAGCACGTATCCACAGTTATTTAATACACTCTCCATCTTACCCTCAGACTTTCCACAGTACTCACTAGCTCTGGGGATCTCATTTTTATTTCTGTCAATGGAATGTATGAAAGGAATGAATGAAAAAAAGAACCACGATGCTGCTTGGAGACAGAAGTCTTGCCCAGGATGCACAGCTTTCATTAGAGGGAGCAGGAAGTGCAAACATGATGTCAGAGCTACAGAGATTATCTGCATAAATGGTGTTATCATTTAACCCAAACAAACAGCAGGGAAAGGCTCACCCCCTCCCTTTGAAGACAATGGACAGTTACTAAATTGGACTTGTAATGAAAGCCATTTTCAGTGAAACACAAGATATGTGCAACAGTTGGTTCAGAAATGAAAATCTGTTGTAACAGCCAAAAGTCAAAGGCAGCTATAAATACAGGCCTTAATCTTTTCAAGAATCCCTTAACGAAGCCTATAAAACTGATTTTATCTCCAGGCCTAACTCAAGTGCAAATTCTTACTCAGAAAAATGTAACAGCCCTGCAAGTATGACTTGGAAAGCAGTACAGGGACAAGGAAGGGGAAAACAGAGTGCTGGTTTGAATGCTCACAACTTGGAACACAAATTACATTGCATTTAAAATAAACAATTAATGAGACAGCAGAAGCCTCAGCTACAGGCCCACTTTTCCGAGAGAGAAACAATTTCCAGAAGCGGTCAGAGCGGGATGCAGAAACACTGCATCTTTCCTTTTAACACAACAGAAATGCTCTTTGATTATTTAAAAGCCAATTGCAAAGACCTGTCTTCAAAACCTCCTATTGCAGGTTTAATAGCAAAGAGGTGCAAGTACACTTACCAGCAACACAGGAGTAAAGTACAGACTTTTGTTTTAACAAAATCTATATTTATACGATTACATTTCCTATGGTTGAGGGCAGCTGTAATTAATGGATTTCCCTCCTTCCCCTAATGCAGTCATTTGTCAATTTAAACACAGAATGCCCAATCAATTTTGATGTATTTAGTAAGCAATTTGTCAGAGTACTGCACACCAGTTAATATATTAATTCTTGTCACTGGCCCACTTCTGACAACTGTAGGCCACGTCCATGAAATTGGTCCTGATGAGCCAAAACTCTTGCCTGGAATGTGAGGAGCCAGAGGAGAGAAATCAGGTCTCAATCTATTCAATTCCTTCTCAGGGAAGTTTTTGCTCAGTTTTAAGGGATTTATTCATTAATGTGTTAATTGACCACGTTTCAAATATTGCATCTAGGGTGCAAAGGAAAAGTGACTTCAGAGTGGAGAGATAAGGAAGAAAAGAAATAAACATGAAATGAGGATGTCAGACTTTCTGGTGATGCAGAGTTACCAATTTCCATGGCAATTCCATTATGTGCCATGAATGTTGACTGTGTGAATTCAAACATGCAAAAAACATGTGAAAGGTACAGAAGTCACACAAAGGAAACCAGGGAAAGTCAGTCAGATATGCAAAACTTCATGGCCTGGTAAAAGAGAGGAAAGGATTCATTTGAATGAAACCTGAACACAACCAGGGGATTGTCATGGACATGGAACACACATCTTAACAGCATCCTCAAGAGTTTATAGAACCCAAAGCACCTTAATTCCCAAGTGCCAAACAGCAGCAAGAAGGCAGGATTTAAAGAGTAATTAATAATGAGGAAACTTGGAAATTCTATGGAGAAAGCTTTAACATTGCAAGTTCCTGTGGACATCAAAACCCTCCTGTGCACACGTGCAGTGTCTGGCACAACTCTCCTCCCACTGCCAGGCCTGCTAGGACAGTTAACCACACCACATGATGCTGTTTATGTCACAGGAAAAACATTTAGGAAGAATAAAATGTGACTTAGATTTCTTTCTGTTGTGGTTAGACTTGGAAGTTGATCAGGACATAGGTGAATAAAAAGTGAATATCAGAGACACAAACAAGGCAGAATCCTATGTATTAAATGTGGGGAATGTAGAGAAATATCTGACACCTAAACCCCAGCACTGAAGACCTGAGGATTGTAATTAATCCAGGGGTTTGTGGGATGGACTCATGGGAACAAGTGAGCCTGGAATCTGCTCTGTCAGAAGGAGCTCTCAGGACTGGTTATATTCTCCCTGACCCACTGCAGCTTGGAGCAGCATCCTGACACTTCCTGCAGGCCAGCAGGCTGTGGAATTTAACGTGCAAGTTCACTTTCAAGCCATGAACTTAGAGAAAGCTGTAAATCCCTCACTTCCCACCTTCTCAGCTGTGCAGCAGCCCGAGCTGTGGTAAGGTGCTCAGGTAGACACGAGCTGCACACACTGATGCAGGTTTCTGCAGCAGATGTCACAGATGACCTCAAAGCAAGGAAACAGCTGTTCTGATCCACTTACAAATACCCTTGGGATAAAGGTCTTGGACACTTGTTGTACAAAACATTTCTTCAAACAATGGTTCCTTGTTCATGCCTTTCTAGCTGCAAATAAAACTTTCAGTTTCTTTAAAAATATTAAAAGCTGAACCGTGTGTTGATAACCTAATGCAGTATTTCTTGAATATTCTTTGTTTAGCATAAGAACTCACCGGCCTGGTTTATATTTTTCAGAGACTAAGGAAGATTCTGGCTCTGTGTTTTGGCATCGAAGCTCTTATTTATGAAAACCTGGCCGTGCAGCCCTCCAAGCAGCCTGCCAGACGTGTCATTGTTCTGCCCGGCTGCTGACAGAGGTACTCTGTGCTAAAAAGCACACTGAGGGTTTTTCAATGACCCAGGGGGCAAAGGTCACTTATTATAAATGGATAATGAGACCTAATGCAATGTTCTGAGTGTGGACAAAGAAAGGGTCTATCCATACCCCCTTGTGACTTGGTCATTCAGGCTTTTATTTCCCCTGCACACTTAATGGAGCCAAACAATTGGCAGAAATGCTATACAGAAAGGGAGAGAAACTGCTGCATTCTACCTCCGAGAGACAGCCACAAACAGTGCCCCTGAAACGGCGCCACGGCTCCTGCGAGCCCTGACGTGGCAGACAGATGGACCAGCCCCCCTGAGCCACGGCTGAGCCATTTGCAATTAAAGCCCCCGATGGAAGAGAGCACAGCAAAGCCAGGCTGCAGCTAAAGCCAGCCCAGGGCAGAGCTGCAGGTAAGCAGAGCCATGGAGCTGGGCTTAGGAGATCTCTAACAGGTGGCTTTTGTGGGAAGATGCTTGGACTCCATCGTCAGGGACTTCACTGAGGAGCTTCAGCCTGAACGAATCCAGAAGACAAAACTTCAAAGACAATCAGACACAAATTTCTCTGTTATTGCCATGTCCTCTAGATACTCTGCTGTCTTTAGTGGTTATCATTCTATTATTCTTTCCATTTCACATCCAGCTTAAAGTATTCCTGTTATGTGAATTAAAACCTGAGTTAAAAGTCTTATAATTCAAATAACACAAGTTCCTTAACTGGCCATGCAGATATTGCATCTACTGTGCAATGGAAAAGTGAATTCAGAGTGGAGAGATCAGGAAGAAAGGAAATAAACATGAAATGAGGATGTCAGACTTTCTGGTGATGCAGAGTTACCTATTTCCATGGCAATTCCATTATGTGCCATGAACGTGACTGTGTGAATCTGTGTGAATTCAAACATGCAAAAAACATGTGAAAGGTACAGAAGTCACACAAAGGAAACAAGAGAGAAGTTAATCAAATATGCAAAACCCCTTTAAGTTCATTAATTTGCTCCTTTTTTCTTTAAAATGTTTTCAGTACTAAACAATTTGAAATGTATACATATGTATACATATGTATACTGTGTAACAGTATTGGAGCTGTTAATGAAATGTTAATGAAATACACAAAATGAGCCCCATCCATCCCTGGGTTTCACTCTGTGGGATACAAATACAAGTAAAACAAGGCTAGAATCTAACAAAAAAAAATCCAGCCAAAATACAAATCTAATGGGGCTGTGCTCTACTAATACCTTTTCATGTTCTTTTGTATCTTTTGAGTTTAATCCCAAATTTCAGTGCAGCACAGAAGAAGGAAGCCTCAAACTTTGCAGGTTTCCATTAACACTCAGATGCAGCAGATGGACAGGTAGAAGCAACAGATGCAATCTGGCACCAGTGTCCCTTTCACCAGTCCCATCCAAAGTGCCTCCTGGCCCACATGGCCACTTGGTGCATCTGAAATGCCCCTGTCACATAAAGCTGCCTGCACTGACAACTGTGCACAGCTCTGGTTTCCCCAGGAGAACCTCAACAGATGCCAGGAGTTGCTCCCTTGTGAGACTTCAACTGCTGCATCACTTTGATCCTAGACAGAACAGAGACTTGCTCCTCACTGTCAGTACTCTTCTCTGTCTTATATTGTCAGATAAAAGATAAATACTCATTTTTCTACAAAACCATTATAAAAATCCATTGGTTTGTATATTTATGTAATACAGATACACCATATATATGGAGCTCTAGGTGTATTAATGTTTCTGAATATGCCATGCCATGAAATGTTGGCTCTCTGGGAATGATGGGGCTGGGCAAGACACAGGACAAGGCAGGTGGGCAAGCATCCCTGGCAGCAGTGCCAAGGCTCCTGAGGGAAGCAGCTGCCTGAGACTGTGGCTGGAAGGAGCCCAGCAACCAGGAATTCCCAAGGAGAGGGAAATGCAGATGCACTCACTTGTCACTGGATATGGAATTCACAGGAGGAAATGGCTAAAAGCATGAGAAGGAATGAGGTGAGGAAACCCTGAAGATTTCATGGGATCTGGTGGGTGACTCTCAAGACCAGCCAAGTACTCCCACAGCCTCACAACTCCAATTCATGGCAAAAATCCCAACCCTACATTCACTGCTCCATCCTTACTAACACGCACAACCCCACTCTGAGGTTGAACATACACTGAAATTGGCTGAAAAAATCAAGTCAGAAAAACACCCTCTGCTTAAAGCTTTCAAATGAGACAAGACAAGAAGTTGTCAGCTACTCACAGCCAGCCAGAAGATACTGGTAGTACTGCACAGCATCTGCAGCCAGGAGCAGTGGATGGTTTGCATTAAATGGTGGTTGGAGTTCATTCCACTGAGGAGTTCTGAGGTAAAACACAAGACTATTAATATTTAAGCTAATACAGAGAATGTAAATCAGTGTTTCTGTCATCACATGCAATTATCTATACAAGCTCACAAAATGTTTGTAATTATTTAAATTAGCTTGTTCAAACACTGCAATCCACCACAGGCAGTGGAGCAGCAGGGCCAAATCGTGCAGATTGTGAGGCAAAGACAATACTTGGTTGTTGACTGCAGCAGGGATTGCGTAAAAAAGAACCCAGGAAGGAGGTTTAGATTAAGTTGGTAAATATGTTTAGGACCATTGTATGTCATGCTGACGTTATATAAACACACAAGAGAAACTGGGCAACTTTTTTTGTTCTGTTAACTACCACTGCTTCCATCCTGTGAAGTCATTGAGCACTTACTGTGAAAATAAAGCTGTGTAAAGTTATGGATTATTGATCCAATTAGAATTTTCAATTCCATTACAACCTACTCATTTCAACAATAATGGTCCCGAAGTCTGTGTTGTAATTTTAATTAGGGTGGGCCATTCCTAAATAGCTTGGTAAATCAAGTATTGATCACTCCAGTCCAGCCATAAGCAGCACTAAGGAATGTAGGAGCCAAGAAAAATCAATAGAAAAATATTTTAAAACGTCAAAAGCACTGACAACACTTTCTCATCAATTTTTCTTTACTTTCTTCCACATGTCAGGAATAATTTCTTCTACTGTCTTTAGAAATGGTACCTTCAGCTGCCTCTGCTGATTCACAGACATGTTCATGTAGTTCCACATGCAGAGAAAGATTTGGAAGCTTAGTTCCCATTGAGGCCCATGAACAGTGACAGAACTGCACGGAAAGCAAGGCTTGAACTTCTCTCCTTCAACGGAAAACTTCAGGAGTCTTTACTTGAGGGACAATCACGATGCAGCTCACCCAAAAAGAAAGATCACAAGCATTTTGTGGCTGAAAGGAAGGAAAAGTCACAGGAATGAGGTACCTAACCAAAGTCCAGCTGGCCCTGGGGCAGGTGACCATCTCCAGGGGGGTGTCGTCGCTGATCTTGGGCGCGGTGCTGAGCGGCCGCGGCTCCAGGACGTGCTCCACCAGGCTCCCGTAGCAGCTGATGATGTACAGCGACTCCACCACAAACTGCTTGGACTGATCTGGGGGGAAAAAAGAGAGAAAATCTTATTGCAACAGCACAGCAGGAACAGAAAAAGCTTTTGTGGAAATAGCAGACTCTGTTCTTTTAAGTCTTAGCTTGTGGCTAAAAATGTGAATTAAAAGTAGCAAAAGGGCTGGAGAGACAAAGAGAAAATTCTACAAAACACACAATTTTCACACAATTGTATGAGTATCTCATACAAGAGAAATTTCACACCCAGGTGTGTTCAGGTGATTACACATTTCCAAACATATCTTGTACATTTGCTTTCTGTTCCACCTTTATCTCACAATTTTTTCAGTGTCACTTCACACAGTACCTTTGGACTGACCTATCAAAGTTGGGTTTCTATCCCTGTATCATAATAAAAGATCAACTATTCATTTCACTAATTAAAATTTCTTGTACATTTTACCAAAAACACCCCAAACACAACCCTAAAATTCTCGATTGCCCCTGAGTTTAAGGAACAAAATGCACAGATTGCTTAGAACCTGCCACAAAATAAGAACTGAAGTTTAAATGCAAGTCCTAATTCTGTGAGGTACCAACCTTTTTCTCGTTTGAGACCGGAATTGTTTGCAAACCATGACCTTGAAGCTCCAAAGACTGCAGCGACACAAAACTCCCCTCCCACAGATTTACTGGGTGAAATCTGCGGAGCTGGTTTGGATTTGCTTTAAAGAAAAAACAAAATAAAATTATACAAGTTCATTCTCAAAAAATTAGGATGTCCCTTGCTTAACAGCAATTTTAAGATTTTACTTCAGAAATGGGGAATATCTGCAGTTGACATAAGGCTGAGCAGGATTTACAGATGCTCAGTGTTTCCCAACAACAGGTCCCAAATTCCCCTGGAATTCTGAACTCATTCACTGGAGAACAGCACTGGCTCATAACGGAAAACTGAATTGTTTAAAAGACCCAAAACTGAATATTTGCATTCAATAGAAACAACTTCTGAAGTAAATACAAAGAAACCCTAAATCCTTAGGGAACGAAAATACAGATTCTGGGTCAGCCATTGCAGGTGGTCGATATTTCCTTGTCCTTTCCAAAGGAAGTCAGGAATAACCAGGGGATATGAGTGACAAAGGGTGGGAGGGAAGGACATGCAGAGGGAACAGGGAGGGGGAAACAATGCACACGCTCATGAGCCACTGTTAGGACACATCAGGATTTCTATCATGGAAAAGCAGACTGAGACACTGTGCCCTGAGCCCAGGATGTGCACAGAGCAGATCCAGGGGGTGAGGATGTTTGTTGAGGTGTTTCTCCTCACAGGGACCTGCAGGTATGGAACATTCTGCTCTGCAGAAACTCAGAACTATGGGCAGGGCACTGGCCATGCCTCAATTCATTAAACCAGCATTTCACCCTTTCCTTAACAGAAAAGCTCTTTTATTTCACTGCTCCCTTCTCTTCCTACCCACCCCTCCTTTCCTTTTTTCTTATACTAATTTCATTTTCCACACAATTTCCGCCCATGATCAGACCATCCCATTAACCTGTTTTTTACATGACAGTCTCCAATTCTGAGAAGTGTGTGTGCATAGGTGTATGTGCAAACAAAGGAGTGCAGGTGTTACAGTGGAATTCAGCACTAGAAGAATCTTTTTAAACATCAGAAATCAATTAAAATACTGTACAGTTATAATGATATTTAATTTATACTAACAAATGTTACACATGGCAAGCCTGTGGTCACATGTATCAGTTAGATATTATAACAAAAATGCTCTTTCCAAAAGAATTCCATCACACTGACCAAAGCCCATGGAAAGAGTCAGACTAACTTCCACGGACTTGGATCAGAGCTGAAGCTCTGGTACATGTGGGAGAAGCTGGAATGTCCCAAAAGAGCAGTTGGAATTTATAGTCAGTAACTCTGGTATTGAACCACCACAAAGCACTTAACATCCAACTGTTAAACCTACAGCTACAGATGCCTGGGTCAGAAACCTGTGCTCCAAAAAGGTCCTGACTATAAATGTATTCCCTTGCTTCCAGTGGCACATCATGTTTCTATATTAGAATATTTAAATTGAGATTGTGTTAACTAACAAGCTTTTATTAGCTACTCAGAAAAAAATCAGAATAGATTTCTTTCACTTGGAAATAATCATCTGTCACAGAAAGAGTATTTTTAACCAAATTGCATATTGAGAATTATTTTGGTTCTCACTTTCCAAGTATTCACATACTCATATTCCTTCAGAAATGAAAATATATCAGTGAATTAGAGTCTTGTTGCTTACTTCAGTTAATAAATGATTTGGTTTAATACAGAGTATTATTCAGGACAGTATCACCCACCAATCACTACAAAGCAAACCAGGAGCACAGATATGACTCTGCCATATTCACTTCCTCTCCATAAAAGGATCTTTTTATACTGTCCTAATGTTCTTAATATTCTCAGCTTTTACTGAACACAATCTGAGGTTATTAAAATTATTTTCAATCATTTATTTAAATAAATAAATGTAATTTAAAATGGGAAAAAAATTGGAAGCAAATGCTATTCTCAGCTACAAACTGGAGTAAAGCTCTACAGAGACAGCAGAAGTGAAGCTGGGACTCAACACATTTTTCCAGAGTTCTCCACACTCTGAGTCCCCAGACCTGTGCTCAACTAAATACAATTATAAACAGCCTTAGAGGAAATGGTCTGAGCTCAGTTCTATTTACATCTTGTCTTTAGGATGCACATCTTTCAAGGCAAGCACTTAAGTGTTGGTTTCAGTGCCAGAAGCTTTTCCCTTCGAGGATGATGTTTTGTAGACAGAAAGAGCAGACCTTGTAAAACACGATTACTCATGTGGTTAAACTCAGCCCTGCTAGCAAACAAAGACAAGCAAACAAACAAAAAAGATTTGTGCATCCTATTGGTTTGGACAGATTTCTGAAAAATACTGTTGAGATGTCAACAAGTCTATTCTGAAGCCTCTTGTAACTGAGGAATCTTTAATTTGACCATAATTTTACCCCATTCCTGAGTTTTCATCGATACATTCCAACTCAAATTTCATTCCTTCAGCAAACCTCCAAAGCCCAGTTGTTTTCAGTAACAGTAATGCCATTAAAAAATATCTTTACATGTCATTGTGATATTTTAACAACTTGGAAACTATAAATCCTCATTATTCTGCAGATGCAAACACCCTCTCAGCTTTATAAATGATAACAAAACAATAATGTTGAAGGTAGGTGGTGAATGACTTGTTTCTGCTATGAACTCCTGCTCTTTCCTTGCTCTTGGCTTGTCAGCACTTCATAAATTATTCCAAGAGTTGAAATTCAGGCACATTTGGCCTCACTTTTACAAAACAGTTACTTTAAAAGAATCTTCATAAAACAGTAACTTCCAAAAGATTGTACCATAGTTTTCCTGAGAAGAGATGCAGGAATAAATTCAGATTTTTGGAATCAATGCTAAAACCAAGACAGTGAAGCAAATGGGGCCAAAACATTCCCCATTCTAATTTCACTCTTCATTTTTCCCAAACATTAGGAACAGCAGCATTATATTCAAGACATCAGGAGGATGAAAAGGCAGTTTACTTTTTCCTCTCTGATCTACTCCACTGTGCAACCACACCTGGAATTCAGTGAGACACAGAAATCCTTTTTCCCCAGTTAGATCTGTACAGAAATCTCTATCAGGAATAGAATGCATTTGGAAAAAATCTGTATTATTATTAAATGTTCTAACATAATTTTGGAGGATTATTTCTATTTTAAATGCAGAAGCATTGAGATGTAGATACAGATGTGGCCATCTGACATTTTCTACTGAAATGGCACAGAAGGAGATGGGAGGAAACTGAAGAAGAAAATGAAGACATCACTTTGTCAGAGCTTGAAGAGCAATGAAGAGACTGAGCTCAGCATGCAAGCTCTTTCATAGTGCCAACACAGTGAGAACAGATTAAGACCTGCTGAAACCATTCAGAGCTCTCACTTGTTGACTTTGTAACGCATCAAACTCTGCCATAATCTCTGGAAATGCATTGTGGTAGCTCTTTGTAAAAATACTCAATAGTTACAATATTTTAACTAGTTTACATTTTAATTATTATTATTATTTTGCTAGTATGAATTAATACTTCTAAAATATTCTGAAAACCAGAGGCTGCATGGTTGATGATGGAGCTTTATGTCTCACAAAATGTTTCAGGCTCTTAAATATATCTTTAAATCCATTGGCAAACAAGTGACATGAGTCCAAAACAAGAAATAAATTGCATATATGGGATATGAAGGAGCTGCCTTATATATTTAAATATTTATAGTCAAATAGAACAAGTCTGCAAAGATTGAAAATCACTTTGATTTCATATTCCAAACAAATAGGCTCCAAATATATGAGATTCATAAAAACAAAAGCACTTATTCCACACTAAACCCACTGAAATGGAAACATCTATGGCTGCTGATGGAATAAGTTTTATCTTGACTACATAAGCATCAACAAAAGTATCAGGAGAAAAATACTGCAAGAAATTTGCAATTACACATAAAATTATAAAAAAAAAATCTGTCTCAAAGTCCAGAAATTTTAATTCATTTATCACTGCACCTACAACATAAAAACAAAGATGTTTCCAGTTGTCAGATCGTGAATAAAGCAAGAAAAAGCACAAAAAGGAATGGTAGGATCCTTTATTCACCAGGCACTTAGCTGTCAAATCAACATCCATTTTGTTTACAGAATTTTAGGTCTCATTAAGACCTTAATGGAAACAACATGACTTCTTCCCCCACCCAAAGTGTGTTTTTTATCCTAATTTCTCTGTAGACGAGTAAGGACCATATTTTTGAGCTAGCACTGGCATTAAACAAACCACAAAAAGAGTCTTGTGAAAGACAGGCAACAATTTTGGAGCCTATTTCATATATTCCCCTCTTTAATCTCAGCCTTTTAATCTTACTTCAATCTAAAACCATTTCTGGTTGACGATGTCTCCTGCTTCGTGCAGGGGTGATCCACACTGCCTTTGCTCACAAATCCACTGCCAAAACTCTTCTTCCAGAGCCTTTGCACTTCTTAGATCACCATGAGGCAAAACTCTTTGGTGCACCAGAAACTGCTCTTAGAAAGGTTCTTAGGTAGGTACTTCAGGAATTAGAAATTCTCCACGAATAAGGCAAAGCTAGCTTCCTTCCTTCCTTCCTTCCTTCCTTCCTTCCTTCCTTCCTTCCTTCCTTCCTTCCTTCCTTCCTTCCTTCCTTCCTTC